GGTGTATGACCCTAAATTTTCTCTGCTTGCAAAGATGCCAACGAGAGGCCAAGCCAGAAGGAGGCAAAAACTTGATAATCTGTATATGCCAAATTTTTAGCTAGCAACTTATGTAAAACTGAAATTCAGTGAAAAGAAAAGGGCAGAAGATAGCGTTATTGAAAGTGAACGTGTCGCCATCGTCGTGTTACAAAAGAAAATTTTTTATTCTGGCGATACATATTTTTTTGCCGCATGCGCATACATACACGCTGCTTCCATCCTGGATGGAATGCGCAGTGTCCGTTTCAAAAGGGCTCTGCCTCGGTGCACCCCTCTTGCAATTTGCCTGGCTCTGGATTGGCAATACGGCCGGAAGAGGAGGGAACAGAAAAGAGAGGAATGCTGAGCACGGTGTGCCTGACCTTTTTGCATCGGTCGCACTTCCTCTCTCCCTCTTGCAAGCGCCGTGTGCGAGGCCGTGTGCCACCGCCCGACACAGACACACACACGCGCGCACTCTTCTGAGGGGAATCACTTTGAAATTAATTTGAAATAACCACGCGCCTCTCTCGACCCCAGACCCCACCCGCTACGGTGCACATGTATTTCACATGAGAGGCGTGATTATCCTGCTCACCACGTCGCGCACTAAGTAGACGCCCCCCTCCCTCTCTCTCTCTCTCTCTCTCTCTCTCGGCATCACCTCTCCCCCTCCTCCTCAGTGGGTCAGTCAGTCAGATTCTGACCCGGGTCAGAGAAACAACAGCAGTGCGCTGAGCAGGGGATTGGGATTGGGAGAGGCGCGGGCGGCGCTGCCATGGGCGCTGCTCTTAACGTCACGCATAGGGGAGGCGTCAGCAGGCTGGGGTCAGGCGTTCAGCGTGTGAATCGGGCTCTCGGAACTGCTCCAAAAGCTGATCTCTCATCACTTGAAAGTGTGCGGGAAAATTCACGAAGAAGAAATTGACTGACAACTTCTGACATCCCTTTCCTTTTATTTTTAAGTGTCGCGTGTAATTATTGATGAAATTTTTAGCCAGGTCTAGAAACAGGTGGAACACAGATATAGCTCATTGTTTTGTGGCCCACGGCCTTACACCGCAGTCCTGCGAGGATGGATGACTGTCCTACGATGGCGCGGATCTGCTCACAAAGGTTGTACCACACGCACGTTTGTCACTCCGTAAATCAAACACTTGTTATTGCCGGCACCGCACTGTACAACAGAGGGATTTAAAGGCTTTGCAAGTTATTTATAAGTTACGCGCGTAATTTGTGAAATATCATTGAGGCAAAATTGCATGTAATTTGTTTATTATTTT